GAGTTATTAACGAAAAACGAAAAAACAGTTTTCTGCGAATTACTCGTTAACTATTGATGCTACCGAAAAACTTTTATACAGAAATTGTAGATCTCGTCGTCCTCTACAAGAAAGGTCGTATACAATTTTCCCGTAAGTCCAACGGTTTAGGAGTTATTGGCAAAAAACGAAAATTTGGAAGAAATTGAAGGTGTACCCCTTGGAAAAATCTCGGAAAAATCGAAAATTTTTTTTTGTTGTTTATTATTAGCAATGTTCTTCCGACGTTTGATTTCTGTTTAAAAAATGCGTTTTTAAAGTGCATAAACTCTTGGAATTGACTGTATAGCCAATACATCCTTAAGGAATCCAACCCACGAATAGTAATAGAATTCGACACACTTCGAATCTATCACAAGATTAAATATTCGAATCACTTCGAATTTCATTTGAAACTTATTGTCAAAATGAATCGAAGCTTTTGAAGATTGTGAAAATTACTTAGTACAATAAAATGATGTAACTAAATATATAAATGTTTCTTCCTCCCGAAATCCACAGAAATAAAAGTACGCAAAATATACGTTTAGAAAAAATGGTTTGAATAAACAGTTTACCCATCTTTAACATTCCACGGTCGATAATCCCGACGCAACCCTTCCCTGGAATCGAGGAAACCGTGAGGGTGGTTTCGAAGGCTCCACCCTTCAGCCAATGAGCTGATTCTGTTAAGGGTAGCTAGTGGCAAGATCCTCCAATGGAAACTGGGACCGTGATACTGACTTTTCGAGGAAGGGGTTGTTTTGCGGAAGGGGCGTGTTTGGTATTAATCGAACCGCGGGAGCTCGTTTCCCTGGCCCGGGGGTGTCATCGGCATCCTCCAGAATCCAGAAGAGTGTACGCTCGTGACAGAAGGCTCGTCCGTTTCGCTCGTGTAATCGCGAATCTTTTTTTTTTTCAACTGACAATCGCAAGGAAGTGGTCCTTCGCCGTTCGCCGCTGGACAGAAACCGGGATATGAGCTACACCGAACCGCTCTGGGAGATCAATGGAAATCAAGCACCAGTGGGTATTAAAATTTATCAATTTTAACATGTTCACGACGGGCTGAACCACTGGATGGAATCCGCCACCTGACCCTCTTTTTACACCGTATTTTTTAATACAATTTTAAAGTTAACACGATTTATTCAAAGTTCTGCTAATCGGTATTTTCACGATTTTTTTTACTCTATACGGTTTCACGTTGTAAAAGGAGGATCAGATGTAAAATTGTTGAGAAAGTACGAAAAACGAAGTCGCCCTACGGTGATGACAATAAATTCAACACCCGCCGCGGACGTGTTAATCTTAACGTTAATCATCATTCGAGTTAAAATATTCACTTATCCAAATTGCTATTAAGGTTGTTCTGACTACATGTAGAATCTCCGTACGAAGTTATGCGTGTTCTAAATAAAGTGCATTTTTTTATTCTATAATATATTTGGGATCTTAAATGCAAAGAAGACACAAAATAAAGTTGATTTTAAGCCATGAACGAGCGACTTCTTAACGGGCAATTAGACTTTACTATAAATGAAAAATAAATTAACACGTCTGCCTCTCTTCGAGTCTCGTCGACAACTGCTAGACTCGACAACGACAACAGCAACGGCAACTGCCAGTCTCGTCGTCGATTGCCTATCTTCATGAAAAATTATCTATTGTCTATTTTTTTGGGATCAGGAAAGATGGAATTCTGGCCTGTATGTATTAGCTCTAAAATTACGGTGTAAGTCATTTTCAACCAAGTTGTGATTTGCATTGCTTTTAACCGTGATACTAAATTGAAAAAAAAAACGTGGAATATTTATACATCTTCTATGCAAAACAAATAAAAACAAATATCAGTCGTGTTAATAGAACACCTGTAACATTTCTGGAACCTTTCAATTCAGAAAAGCATCATACGTAGGTCTACGACCGAGGTTTCAAATTTTTGTTAGAAATCCTAATAAACAAACTAAAAATCATGTTCTTTATTTTTTTTATTCGGAACTTCGATGAATAGCTGTTTTCTTAAATCTCTTATTTCACATTATACGTAATAAACTAAGCTTTCTAACATCCCAGAGAAAATTAAATCATTTGATCCAATATTAGAAAGTTCGAATGTTAATAGGAATCACTGTAACTCCAAGACGAGCTTTTGAATTTCCTAACAGAACTTCTGTATGTATAACTATTTATTTACAAAATTACAAACATGAATCACTATTGTAACTTCTAGCCAGAGCAACCTTAAGGTAAATGTCTCAATTTCTGCTCACTGTCCTTCTATCATTTTGTGTTATTTTAAAATGATAGAGACATAAGCGAGTAAGTGGAGATTAGGACGTGAACAGAAGTCGGTACATTCACCTTCGTGTTGATAAAATGAATAAAAGAAGATGAGATGTGAGTAAAAGTAAATGAAATAGGTAATTACAGCGGATATGTCGCAATACGTCAGCGGCGAACTAGGAAGTTATCCCATGTGGGACAGTTCTGTGTTATATCAAGCACCGCCACCCTCACACACCCACATGAACGAACACGGATTGTACAGACAACCCTGTGCGTTGTTACATCAAAGGTAATTCGAAATTCCGATATCCTTTAAAATAAGTTCTAAACGATGTAAAAAGAGAAACAGGCGTACTTAATTTCTTTGAGACCAAAAGGAGAGTTAGGTGTACTTCGCTTCTTTGAAATCATTTGGTCTCTTCGCACCTACTTGGAAACAATGTGACTAATATATCTTCGAAAATAATTTCAGTCGTTATACGCCTAATGGCAGATCTCCGAATGTTCCATCGTCAACTACGAAAAAGCCAAGGCGTCGCGTGGCCACGGTTTCACAGAGGAGAGCAGCGAATATTCGGGAGAGGCGTAGGATGTTTAATCTGAACGAAGCCTTCGATAAATTACGTAGGAAAGTGAGTTCGTTTCTAAAAACTTCAATTTTCTCCTCATCAGGGTCAAATAAGAATTATTCAACACGTATTGTACCAAGGGAAAGAATTTAACAAGAGTAAATCGTTTAACAAAGTTCTGCGATGTTTGATTCTTCAGGTACCGACCTTCGCGTACGAGAAGCGACTTTCAAGGATCGAAACATTGCGTTTAGCTATCACCTACATCGCTTTTATGGGAGAGCTGCTCGGAATCGAACCGAGCAGTCCGAAGCAAGAATACATACCGAGGGAATATTACTTGCCGAATTAAATTCGGGAATGGGGAAATGTGAATGGAAATCCGTGTATGGAATTGCAACAGATGAAACATCAATGAAACCAGTAGCGATTACTTTCAATGGAATCATTCAATGTACAATTGATTTGAGATTATTTAAAATCAGGCATTTAACGATTATGTTATCTCAATTCGATATACAGTATTAAAATTAAAACTATTTTTCCCATCACGAATAAAAGACATATTCGGATAGCTACATTTAGGATCATCCTGTGTTTTCGTACCGTTTTTGGTATTTTAGTACAAATATTGACTTTTGAATTCGTTTTATCGTTATAACTCTTAGAACAAATGTATGTGATCAAAACATATTTTATATGTTCCTCTTATTATTTCGGAAAGTCAAACGAAACCTTCATTTCACTTCAAGTAGCATACATGCATTCAAATGATCGTAACACAAAAGTCTCTTAATATATCTTAACACAGAAATGTACATTTCTAAAAATCTGATTTACTATAAATCGTTTTATCGATCATTTCTCTGCGAAATATCTATTATGGAGACATAATAATTTAATGAAACGTTTTACTTCTCAACGTATAGATTATAATTAATTATAATAAACACTTGTTCTTTAACGAGCCTCACGGTGATAAGTAGCATCGGGCCTCTAAGACAGAAGTCATATAAAAAAAGAAGGACGTTAACTAACGCTTATTGTTAATGTCTATGTGATTTTACGGGATAAGGACAAAAATCTGTGTCTTCCATAATTTATGTATAAATCTGCTTATTATATATATTATAATTACACTTAAATATAAGACCTATAAACAGTAACATTTACCTCTCTATTCTCTCCCTGATAAGACAGCTTTTCATTGAATTCTTTAATCAAAATGTTAATGGAGAAGGAAAACGTGCTTGAACTATCACGTGGCTACACGTCTGTTAAAAGGACATTCCTATATTTCAATGCTCCTTCTAGATTTATTGCTTCATTTTGTAAATTGTAATAATTAACATGTCGCTGTTCATTACATTTTTTAATAAATATCGCAAAAACTTTCACGAAACGCAATTATTTTTTGCATATATTAATTTAGTTTTATACAGTTAATGTATTATTTGTGCTACCGAGGAGATATTATTAGAGAGCGGCAGCGCCCGTGTAATCACTGGGACAGGTAATCGCTCTTTTTAGTGGTAATCGCACCGAGGATGTCCGGAAAACTTTCGATTAATAAATGAATGAAAACGATTCTTGCCATTTTTATTTCACGATCCTTGACCACATAACTAAATGATCAATCCTTGGACTGCCTGGAGACAAAAAGGATGGAAGACTCGCAAACGGATGCTGTTCAACCTGAAGGAGGATAAGGTGGTCAATTATCATCCCTACAGATTATCTCCAAACGGAATAAGTTATGATAAATGATGTCAAAAAAAACCGGCAAAATCGTATGTGCATAAATTTTCGTGTGCTGAATAGAATCCCCGTTAAAGATCGTTATCCGCTCCGTTTAATCGAGGGTCAGATCAATTGTTTAGGCAGGAGGAAATCTTTTACTGTGTAGGATACGGCCTCGAGTTTTTATCAAATTCCGTTGTACTCGACTCTATAGAGAAGACCGCGTTTGTGGTTTCGAATGGTCAATCCGAGCGTTTCGTTTCAACGATAATAAATTTGTCCACCACGGAAATAAGTGAAATTTTAGAATGACTGCACAAATTGTCAAAGTTGATGGTTTTGCAAAAAGTCTGCTTGGATGTTAGCGGAATAATGATGGAATTACAAAGGACAATGGATGAAATTTTAAAAATAGAAACACAGCTTCATATAATGTACGTTTAATAAATACAACTTTCTAATTAACTATGATCACATTTCTTTTATGCCTTGTAACTAGCACAAATAAAATTTGTCCTATGATTGATTACATAAATAACGAATAACGTGAAAGTACAGTTCCAATGATTTTTTAACTTTAATCTCGATCAAATAAAATAAAAAAGTTAAAAAACATTGAGCTGTCCTGCGTCCTTACCTGATCACAAGATAAAATTCAGTAAAATCTTGCATATATAATTTACTTCTCATTTTATGAGACATTGTACTCCTGATTTAATCTCTCTCTCTCTCTCTCTCTCTCTCTCTCTCTCTCTCTTTCAGAAACTTGTCTAGTATTTTATATTTTATGTGCTACCGTACCCTGGGTACAATAACAATAGAGTGGACGATAACAATTCATTAACTACAAAATTACCATCTTCATCCAATTCGTAGCGGCAGGATGGACAGCAATAAACGCCCGATGAAAAGCTCCGTTTTATACACGCGATGCAGATGTTGTGCCTGCAAGGAGTCGTTATCGGTTTGTAGACTAGCTCCAGACAACAAGGACAGGTGAATCTGTAATTAAAAATTAATCACGAGTTACTAAACTATCGAATGTAAGCAGAAATTATAATGAGAATTGTAATTTTTTATAATTATAATATCACTTTATTAAATGGAGAATAGACTGTGCAAATCAACGGTTCTTCGGTTATTTCGAGAGAAAGTTGACAGCAATTATATTTCAAAAGTAATTCTATACAGTTCTATCGGCAAGTACTTGCATACTATTTGAAAAATCGTGTAATATGATTCTATTTCAAAGTTCATATGATTCCACTAGAGCAAAAATTCAATGGATGAAAATTTATTAGTTTGTTTTAAGAAGTGATACCGTACGTTTCGAAAACTTTCTCCAAAAACACTGGCTTCCCTTTAGGAACAACCTCACGGCACTCGGCCCAAAGTTTCTGATTCACGGTGTCAGCTTCGATATGTTTCACCACTTCGTCTTCTAACTGGTAACAGCTCGTCGGTTCTTCGTCTTCTGAGTTACCGCCTGTTTTCTGTTTCTTATTCGCTGGTTTTTTGTTTTCCTCTTCCGAATCATTATCAAAGGCTCGTTTCATACTGCTACCGGCTTGTTCCTTGTTCTTCACCATCGCTTCTAAGTATCCATCGGGGTACACCAACTTCAGACCTAGAGAGGCTATTCGCTTTTTACCCTCTTTGGTCCAGGGTGCGGGTGCTGGATCATCCCTTCGTAACAGGTATCTCCACACTCGAAAGCCACTCTTACCCTTTTCAGGATAGTACTTTACTACCTTGTAAATACCATCGTATCTGAAATAATAATAAAAATATTTTTATAATACTTACAAATTACTGATCGAAATAAATAATAGAACGCAGTACGAACATGTTAAAACTAAAAATATTCGCATACGAAAGTATCGATATTTACTTGCGTTTATAAGAATTTCACTGATTGCAATTGAAAAACTTTCTCATAAAATAAAGATTGACATACCTATTACCTTTCTTTGGCGCGTAAATACTGTCTTTAAGTTTGTAATTTCTCACAACTCTCACCGGTATGCCTTTTCTCCAATCTTTAGCAATGGCACCTTCCTCGTTCAGCTCCGCGTTGCAATTTAATGCCAACGCTCTGTTCATTCTAGTTAATGTTTGATCACAGCTTTGTTCAGCTGTCCTTTTATTACCTTAACAAACGAAACCATTGATGAGTTAGAAACTTCTCATTTAATCACTCACGATGGAAAGATGTGCCGCGCTAGACGTTTCAAATTTTTTTTACAATCAAATATCTTACCGGATAAATCCCTGCCTCCGGAACCAGTGTATATGAATTCTTCTCCGTTGTCAACGTCGTCTTCATAGCCACCAGACAGCACGATAGAATACGCACAGTCTGACTCTCTTCCGTGAATTCCGGATACAGGTGGCCTGTGTACTCCGGCTTCAGATACCTGTAATCGGAACATCCAAGTCATCCCAACTTCGATTCCTGGAACAGGCCCACGGTGAGGCGGATCGACAATGCTGCATTCTTTCGAACGTTTCGCGCATGCCATTCCATTCCCCCAATCCTTGGTGGAAGTACGGATTATCCTCTTGCTTGGTTTCAATTTATCTCCCACCTTCAAGCAAAAGGTCATTATGTATAGCATACAAGGTGTCCCAGAAAGGTTGGTAGAGCCGGAAATGGCAGAGTGGGAGAGTCATTCTGAATAATTTGAATTCAGTAATATAAATGAGAAATTAAAAAGTTGCTGCGAACATTGAATTTAGAAGAACTGCAAAAATAGTACAGATTGGATTTACCCATTAATCCGCAAGTGGATGATGGGTCACGGTCAGTGAGTCAGCGTACTGATCCTTACCGCTCGCAGGTCATCCATATCTTATCTTCGGTCCAAGGATTGAACTCCTTAATGACGTTTCACTAGACTACCACCGTCACTTTTCACTTGCAAATTTTCGGACACTTACACTGTTGCTCCTACACTCTAACACTAAACATCTTTGAAAGGAACCGATTGTTTTTCATTCATACAACGAACTTCACTACATCACTGTCACTTCTCATTTAAAAAATGGGATAGGAAATGAACACCGGGATCATCTCGTAATAGTCTCCGTTGAATTTTTCAGGCTCCATCGTTGAATTGAGGTACACGATTTGATATTGCCTGATTTGTGTCTTACAATTTCCCGACGGGAGAATTTTCCCCACTCGATAGCCAAATTCGTTAGTGAAAATGTGCTTAGCATTGTTGGAAGAAACCCAACCTTCGATTCCTTGCCATATTTACAACATATCCCACATGTAAAACAGTTGATATCTCCGCGACTTGCAGCTACCAACCGTCGACGCCTGGATGGTCATTTGTCATAGCCGTAGGCACATTGTATCCTGATAAAAGCCGTGCCATAAGTCGTATGGAAGAACTTTCGTCAGCTTATTCTTCTCGATTTCCCTTCGTGCTTCACGCGTTCAACTAGTTGCACGTATTTTTAAGGGAAATTGAAAAGAATTAGCTGACGAAAGTTTTTCCGTACGATTTATGGTACGGTTTTTAACTCCATACAATGTGTCTACGGGTACGACAAATGGCAATCCAGGCGTCGACGGTTGATAGCTGCGAGTCGCGGAGATATCAACTGTTTTACACGTGGGATATATTGTAGATATGGCAAAGAATCGAAAGTTGGGTTTCTTCCAACGATGCTGAACACATTTTCACTAACGAATTTGGCCATCAAGTGGGGAAAATTTTCCCGAAGAAAAATTGTAAGACACGGATCAGAAGATATCAAATCGTGCACCTCAACTCAACGATGGAGCCTGAAAAATCCAACGGAGACTATTACGAGATGATCCGGGTGTTCGTCTATCGTTAAGGGAACGCGGAGATGATTATTCACCGATGTCGATACAAAGAGCGCCATCCCGATCGAGTCGCGCCCTTCGCACATCGTTTAGTCCACGTGCCATGCGGACAGTGAACGTGCATTGAAGTTCATTTTATGAATGAAAAACAATCGGTTTCTTTCGGAGACGTTTCATGTTACAGTGCAGAAGTGTATAAAATGTTTTAAATGAAAAGTGACAATGGTGTAGTTAAGTTCGTTATATAAATGAAAAACAATCGCTTCCTTTCGTAGATGTTTAATGTTAGAATGCAGGAGCAACAGTGTAAATGTCCGAAAATTTGCAAGTGAAAAGTGACGGTGGTAGTCTAGTGAAACGTCATTAAGGAGTTTAATCTCTGGTCCGAAGATAAGTTGTAGCCGACCATCTGATCTACCTGCGAGCAGCAAGAATCGCTACGCTGAGTCACTGACCGTGACCCATGTTCCTCGGAGCAGGTACACTTGCGGATTAATGGGTAAGTCCAATCTGTACTATGTTTGCAGTTTTTTTAAATTCAATGTTCGCTGCGACTTTTTAATTTCTCATTTATCTTACTGAATTCCTCTTTTCCCCATACATTCCATTTGAATAACGATTAAGTGTATTAATTGTTATTCACAATAAAGAATGAACAATTTCCTTGCACTGTCATTTATGTAGTTTATTATTCGTTATTTTTTTTTAAATGGTTCGTACTGAGAGGAGCGCTTGTTCGCGCGTCAAAGGCCAAGACGTCCGGGTCTGAATCGGAGTTCGCGCCAACCGAGCGCTCTCATTGGACCGTGTTTTTCGTTAATATCTCGGTAACCAAGCCCCAGTTTGCCAAAGAAAATTGTTGAATTATACTCACCTTGACGATTTCATTCTCGTCGTTTTTACAGTTTGGGCAGTACCAATAATCCGCTTCCGGTATGGACGTCAACGGTGGCGTTAGACAGCTTATATGGTAACCCGCGTTGCACTCATCACACAACAACAGATTGTGTTCATCGTGTTTGCCGGCACATATTTTACACCCGCACTCTTTGCAGTCTTCGTGGGGGTTGTCCAAGCATGCCTCGCAAGAAGCCTGCGTACGTCTCCGTGTTCCGTTACTCGTGAAACGTTTCTCGTCCTCAGATGTTCTATCCTTTAAAAGCTTCGGTTCCTCGATCGCATATACCCCTTCTTTGGTCATCACTGTCTGGTTCTCGAGACATCTTGGTTGATCGCTATAAAAAATACAATATACAATTAATATGAAGTGTCTCTCTCTAAAAAAAAATTGTTATACAATAGTAATATATATAATTAGTATTAAGAATAATAAATAAATAAATAAATAAATGAATAAAAATTAAATTAAATTCACTTTTAAAAGCAAGGAACAAAAAATTTAACTCTAAGAAATGAAAAAAAATTCAGAAGCCTCGAGGATTTGAACCTGGTAATGACGGGTTTGCAGTCCAGCACGTCACTCATTAAGATTAGGCTATGGCGGGCATCGGAACATTAATAGACATTTTTTTCAATAACTATTGAGCATTGACAGCTACGTCCAAAAACGAGTCCTTAACTTTTAACCCTCTTTGTGGGGTTCTCCTTATTGGACTCTATAATGCACTCAATAACAGTAGAACTTACCTCCCGATGTGCAAGGTTCCGGTGAGTTCGCATTTCTTCCTCTTTTTATGAATGTTCGATATTGTGAAGTCATACCACAGTCCAATTTCTTTTGGTTTATCCACATTATAATTAATCATGACCCGCTGCCCGATTGTCCAGTCTTCTGACTGTAGTAACTTCGTCGCTCGTGGCCTTATCGATGTTTCGGGCACGTCGAAGGGCGTGTCTTTTTCGTCGAATTCCCAATGAACGTTGTAAACATATTTTTTATCCTTTTCAAATACTTTCAATATGATCGCTTCGAACCAGGCCCCCTGTGTGAAGTCAAGGCAATCGACTGCGTCACCAGACTTGTAGTACAAACTGCTGGACACATCGAAACGTTCCTCTTTCAGTTTTTCCCCAGCTTCTCCTCCGGACTTGTTAGAGTTAGCAGTGCTGCTGCTGGTACTTGAGCTTGAGACGAGCACTTCCTCCTTACTCTCTTCCTCTGTTGCCTTCACCGCGAGCAAGATCACATCATTCATGTTAACATTATAATCGTACAGTTTGTAATTGTTCTCTAATTGTTTTCCACGGAAGAACAGTTTTTGCAACTCCGGCTCTATGTCTAACTCGTATTTAATTAGATCCTGAAAGGCAACGGAGATTGATTAGTTAAACCATTACAACTACCATACTTGTGTTGTGCATAAAATATGAAACAAAAACTGTTAGAACTTGTAAACGTGGCACTTTCATACTTAAATATCCTATATATGGTGATGACTAGACAGCGGATTTCGGTGCATTTATAAGAAAAGAGAATGTGCGAAAATGGTGAATGTGCTGGTGAACGTTACCAGTAATGATTAAGCAACTATAAACTGATCGTTCTTTCCAATTGAGAATTACTTTTAATTGAAGTACCTTTAAGTATTTTACTGATGCTGTTTTCGAGATTTTTATTAGCACATCTTCCGTGCTGTACCCTGTCCTGATTTTGATATACATTCTGATGAGTTTGTTTCGCTCGACGATTCCAAAGTACTGTCCTATGAGCTGTGTCTGATGTACAGGTGTGTCGGGTCACTCGGGTCTGGTCTCTGGTATCTGATGTATGGAAGTGAATTGTGGTAGTGGTAATTTGCGGCGGTAATCTACGTGCTCAAACAGTAAGGAATATAATTAAATTCATAACAGCAAATGAATTCCACTCAGTAATTAAACGTAATATTAACGAACGTAAATCACGTAAACTCACCCGATTTTACGGACTTGACTCCTTCATGCTCCTTCACGGTTCAAAGGCAACTGCGACCTGGCTTACTACTTGTTGCTGGCAGTTATGTGATCAAGCGGTCTGTGAGAGAAATTTGGCGGGAAGACGCGCCGCCTGCTCTTCGTGCGCCCCGAACCCTTCGCCGCACCTGGCACCTGGAGTTTAGATCTTCTAGTTCTAGATCGCATATATATTTTCTACACGGAGTGTATAACAATAGACACTCTTTCACGATTAGTTTCCCACGAGCAGTCACGGTCACGGGCACTTACGTATATACGCGGCTTTTTCTTTGGTTGGCGATTTCCGTTGGATTGTTTCTTTTGTGCTGTTCAAACCGTTTATTTAAATCGAACCGTTGCTTACCGGTCGTTGAACCAAGCAGGAGACCAGGAATGCGTGGAAGAATAATTTCTTGAAGGGAATGTGTTAAAAGCAAATGAAAATAAATGGAAAATGGTGGTTAGACAGTACGCACACTCTTCTCTGTTATGCAATTATTTTTTCAAAACTGCGATCTGAATGATGCGTTCAGTGATGAATGAAAGCGAAAGTAATAAATCCTTAAATTTAACGTTACCACGAAACGGCGCAGGTGAATATCACGTTATTTTTTGCGATATTGATATATTATTCTAATATTCCTTACAAGGGAATAGAGTATTTTTCGTTCGTTTTACTCCCATTTGGTACACGTTGAAATTAATCTTCAATTCAATCATATTTATCGAGGGTCTCTAATCGTAATTAACAATTATGAAGTTATCAGTGTGTTTTATTTCGTCTTTTCCTCATGTGTATTTGTCTGGTGATATTGGGTAGAAACAGAAATAAAAACAGATTCCAGTGTAATAACGCAATATTATAAAGCAGTAGGTAAGCAATAACAAAATTGGTCGCAAATATAAAATAACAATTTCTGAATATTCTTAAAATCTACGAGTAACTGATCACGTATATCAGCTCGATACATTCTTATTTGATTCTTATATCCATAATCCTGTAAATACTAGCAATGTCAGAATTTTAAATGGATTTAATCGCACGTAAACAGAAAATTCATTATCTATCGGTTGATGCTTCTATTCGATATCACCGAGTATCTTCTCGGTATCAATACGAAGGACAATTTATTTACTTGCAAAACGGGTATCACTCAAGCAGCCCACTATTCACATAAAGCCCTTCTATTCATATAAATTCTATTTCAGGATATTATTAACTTCAGATCTTTCTGAATCAAAATATTTAATACATTCCACAATTTCCTTTAATTTTATTACAGAATTATACTTAATTAAACTATCAAATTGTAAGTTTCATTTTTCCTAGTCGTTTGTAACGAATCTTTAATTATAATGCAATGTAATGCATCGGTAGTGAAATTATATAAATATTTAGAAATGTAAAAGTAATGCATAAATTGTCTGTCGTACTCAATAAAATTTCGTGTACATCAATCTAATATTTCATTTTATCAATTGTTTCGTTAATAAATTCTATGCTTTTCTCTATGACCGCAGTCTTAGTGACGAAATTGTACGGCGTAGTAAGTATTTGTTCCCTTAATAAACTCTGTTCTTCCGCCTGCTGCTATGCATCTCCACAATACTGCCGGATTACCGGAACTACCTCCGTCTTTCATCGTGGAACATCTGCTGCGCACATAATGCACTATGCTTCTCTTTACAAACACCTTCCATTCCTTGCTACAATGCTTTTCTGAAAATTTCCTTCACAACGCGAAGTTTTAGCGAACTATAAGTTTAAACACACCGGTTTTTTAATCGCTTATTGAAGTGTAAAGAACTGGCAGCTTATTATAAGGGCGTATCTGCCCAATTTACCTGAGCTTGATTAACTGTAAAACTTTTCCCCAGTCAGTCCATCGTAGATTCCCATTCTTTACGTTCTTCGATTATTATCTGCTTCTGCGAATACGTCTTCCTTTAGAAACATCTGTCGCTCTGTTCGCAATTTTATCTAATCTATCTGCTTCGGAAAGAGATCTTTTCCATCCCAATACAATTTTATAATCTTACACTGGAAGCTCTATTTCTTTCTTCTCGTTAAGCTATTGGTTTAAAAAACGAAAAACAATAATATTTCGAATGTCTCTCGGTTCCTGTTTCCCGACACCAATATTTAATTAATTTTAATTTATGCAATGAACGTTATTTGAAAATTTAGCTACGAGTACATCAAATTTTGTATGACTAAAACGGCAATACTTCTATATCTCTAATGAAACTGGTACGATATCAGAACATTCTTTTAATGATTATAAATAATAATGTTGCGTAATTACACCAAAATATCTATGCTTTTATTGATCTTCCCTCCGATTTTCACTATCAAAGTAGGTGTACACCGAACTTCATGAATAGCCGTAAAAACATTGGAAAACGAACAAGGTGTACCACGATAAAATTACAATTTATACAAATATATATAATATGTAAATATATATATATTAAAATGTATTTATACATACATAACTATATATTTTATACTAGCGTCTCTCGAAAAGGTATAACAGAATTGATTCGCTTTTAATCTTTAAAGAAATTCACGATAAAGTGTCTGCCCTTACGGGAAATCACGAGTAGTCTCCACTTACGTAATAATTATATATTAATGATATATAATGTACAATTGATTCATACGTGACTGTGAAATATTTATGATAAAAAAACTAATATGTATAGCGCGAAGCGGAACTTCAAACTTGCAACTATCCTCATTCGATTTCCTTTTTTATCTTTAATTATAATGCAATGTAATGCATCGGTAGTGAAATTATATAAATATTTAGAAATGTAAAAGTAATGCATAAATTGTCTGTCGTACTCAATAAAATTTCGTGTACATCAATCTAATATTTCATTTTATCAATTGTTTCGTTAATAAATTCTATGCTTTTCTCTATGACCGCAGTCTTAGTGACGAAATTGTACGGCGTAGTAAGTATTTGTTCCCTTAATAAACTCTGTTCTTCCGCCTGCTGCTATGCATCTCCACAATACTGCCGGATTACCGGAACTACCTCCGTCTTTCATCGTGGAACATCTGCTGCGCACATAATGCACTATGCTTCTCTTTACAAACACCTTCCATTCCTTGCTACAATGCTTTTCTGAAAATTTCCTTCACAACGCGAAGTTTTAGCGAACTATAAGTTTAAACACACCGGTTTTTTAATCGCTTATTGAAGTGTAAAGAACTGGCAGCTTATTATAAGGGCGTATCTGCCCAATTTACCTGAGCTTGATTAACTGTAAAACTTTTCCCCAGTCAGTCCATCGTAGATTCCCATTCTTTACGTTCTTCGATTATTATCTGCTTCTGCGAATACGTCTTCCTTTAGAAACATCTGTCGCTCTGTTCGCAATTTTATCTAATCTATCTGCTTCGGAAAGAGATCTTTTCCATCCCAATACAATTTTATAATCTTACACTGGAAGCTCTATTTCTTTCTTCTCGTTAAGCTATTGGTTTAAAAAACGAAAAACAATAATATTTCGAATGTCTCTCGGTTCCTGTTTCCCGACACCAATATTTAATTAATTTTAATTTATGCAATGAACGTTATTTGAAAATTTAGCTACGAGTACATCAAATTTTGTATGACTAAAACGGCAATACTTCTATATCTCTAATGAAACTGGTACGATATCAGAACATTCTTTTAATGATTATAAATAATAATGTTGCGTAATTACACCAAAATATCTATGCTTTTATTGATCTTCCCTCCGATTTTCACTATCAAAGTAGGTGTACACCGAACTTCATGAATAGCCGTAAAAACATTGGAAAACGAACAAGGTGTACCACGATAAAATTACAATTTATACAAATATATATAATATGTAAATATATATATATTAAAATGTATTTATACATACATAACTATATATTTTATACTAGCGTCTCTCGAAAAGGTATAACAGAATTGATTCGCTTTTAATCTTTAAAGAAATTCACGATAAAGTGTCTGCCCTTACGGGAAATCACGAGTAGTCTCCACTTACGTAATAATTATATATTAATGATATATAATGTACAATTGATTCATACGTGACTGTGAAATATTTATGATAAAAAAACTAATATGTATAGCGCGAAGCGGAACTTCAAACTTGCAACTATCCTCATTCGATTTCCTTTTTTTCTTTACAAAACTAAATACTCCCGGGATACTCTGTATACCTAATATAATTACATATTTAACAAGTAAATCCGCGCAACTTACACAATCGTGATAATCTATAATACCATTCACTTATATGCATAAACATAAATTCACATTTTCTGCTCTCATAAAAAATTTACTCAGGCAATCGCGCAAACTTATAATTACACGTAACGTTACATAGTAATATACTACATATAGTTAGAGCGTGATTTATATTTATAATTACAATCGTAGTATGGTTAACTCATCCGTCGTTAAATAGAATTAATAACTCTAGTAGAAATTGTTGTTCCGTTTAGTGGCACAACCTATGGCTAAGCAGCACGATATGTACCGGTACGAAAGTTTAAAAGAACGAAAGAAACGGAATGTCTTTTGCACAGTCCCACGAGAACGTCAACGTTACCAAAAATTTTAAAGTAGCTCGTTCGGTAAAGGAATCTCAATATATTTCATCGAAACTACAAATTTTTCAAATATTTGGACATTCAATTGTTTTATTAAGCTGGAAAGTTTTCAGAATATCGACACATTCTCGTATGGATACGATTCGAAAATAAGCTGCATTGATCAGTGATTAGGTGTACGGTGTGCGTGTGCATGATCCACTGTTACTTCATGACTAGAAAAATATTTGTATAAATTTTACGCGCATAAAATGATTGATAGAACGTCGCGAAACACATGATCGATTACTTAATTATGTACAAAATTTGAAAGCAGTCCGATTTCGTGTACGGGTACATAGGATGGCTGCTAACGTAAACCTAAAGCCGCCGACGTTGGAATCAGGATTGCCAGTTTTCATACGAGATCTAGTTTCAATGGAAGTGTCTCAAGTTTTTGTTAAGAAATAACAAGGAAGTCTGATATATTTCTACGCAGAATACTCCATCTTTCACGTCTCCCACTAATTTCTATTAACCCCTTCGTCTTCCGGGACGAACGTTAATTGGCCAGCACTTAGGGAGATATCTCGTCCAGGGTTACAAAGGAGTTAATAGTCGATGGCGATCCTGGTTAAAACGTCCCCGAGTAAACGTTTATCGTTGCTCGTCGCGCTCGGAAGACTCGCGTTAAATCTCCTGATTGTCTTCTCCGGTCTCATCCACGAATTCAACGTGCGTGAACGGGAAGTGGCCGACCTTTCCGTGAAGCTCTCCTTCCCACTGGCCGTTTATATTAGTCTTTGTTACTTTTATCACATCGCCGACTTCCAACTTCAGTGCCGTCTTATCGTACGCGTTTGGTACCCTGGCTTGTTTCACTTTCGCGAACGCAGGTAACGTTCGCTGGATGTTCGATCTGCGCGCGGTTCCGGTGCCCGTTTGTCCACTCTCCGGAAAAGACATCTGCGAGGCTGGAACTTGAACCGAGTTTGAGTTCATCGTTGAACTACCGCCGCTGTCCGGCCGTGAATTGCTCTCGTTCACCGAGTGATTCTCCTCCTCGTACTTTTGAACGTACGGAACCGGGACCGAGCCTTGTTGACCAAGGCTGTTTCTAGCAGTCCACCATTGTTCCTCGTCTTTCGAAACGATCGTAAGAATCTCTCCTGCAAAATTAATTATGAAATCGAGCAAAGCAAAACCAAGAAACGTCAAAAATATACCGACAAATGTTAGAAGTGTCGCATGGCTACCCCAGCCTTATAATTTTCGTTAATAAATGCGTAACGAACCTTTCCTAAATGGTAAATCGTCCGGGTCATTGCCGTCGAAATCGTACTTCGCGATCACCCTCTGAGTCTTTTTAGGTGCAGGCCTGATCAACGGCGTTGTGTCCAAGTAATGTAATTTATAAAAAGCCAGAAGGTGAGGGATATCGGGAAACGTTTGGTCGCCGATCCTGTAGCGCGTTTGTTCGCCCTGCTGAATCTTATTTATAATATAATGGCTAACTTTGCTGTCCTCTCGTACGCAGAGGACGTAATCCCCATGTATCGACGTGCTGTCTCGGACTAAGAATACGCCTCCCTCTTTTTCGCTCATCAGCAAATCTGAGGCATCCTGCCGTGACATTGCACCAAAATACCAACTACAATGAAAAACATGATTGTTATAAATATTATTTCATTCACTATTTATAGATTAATAAACGATAAATACGTAAAGGTTAATACGAAGGATCTAGTTGTGAAGTATTCATACTATGACTTGTCGTATGACATATGTAGCAAGAGTAGGGATCAGCTTCCCTGCTGTTTAGGTCTAGGTAGATGCTGGTCGAGCAGACATCAAAGAAATTGTGGATAGCACAAACAGCAGGGATCTGACCGTTACTCTTGGCTACTCATTCCACAGAAATCACAGAAAATCCCAGCTCTCCGGAAATCATCACAAATCGTAGCACAAATATTTCATTGAACTGGGATAATGAGTATTTTTTATTTACCTGGACCTGTCATATTGATCGAAGGTAGCGGCCATTGTTTTATCGAAATTAATCCGTCGAGATCGTTAACTATCGTTATTTGTTAGTCAATAGTGTGTACACCTCTACGTGTGGGGAAAAAAGGACCCGGAAAGAATAGTAAAAAGCGCAACAGGGCCTCGATGGCGCAGCGAGTAGAACCCTTGTCCGGGACCGAAGTTTAAATCCCGAACGCGAGTCTCCCGCAAATCCTCACCCTTCTTTTTCTCGAATCCTGTAATAATGAAATAACACTTTTTTCGAAGCGATCTCCAAAGGGTTTGAATGTATACATTCATTTCAACAGCATGAAGTAGTTCGATTTTTCTAAAACTAATTATTTTACGACTGATTTGTAATGGAATTGATGCACGTAAAGGGAGGAAAGATGTGGGAAGAATTACACTTGTAACTTTCGTCGATTCGAATCATTTTAATTCTATCCGACTCGTTCCAGTGTTAAGGACCCGTCTTCGAATCCGGAAGAACGTGCGCTATTCGTATAAATTAATGACATATATAGGTATCAATTGTAATGCGTTCAAAAACCTTTCGTTTCGATCGCATTGATCGATTCATTAAACGGAATCACTCGTCGAAGGGTCCCGTGGGAAGCTGCGTATCCGTTTCGACGACTGCAAACATGTTCTCAATGAAGAAGCGAGCCCTTACTTCTTCTCTATCGGGTATATCACCATCACCTCACGTCTCGAATATCGTTGCTTCGCGAGAAGCACACACGCCACCCTTTTCTCTCTGTTCACGCTCCTCCTTCACCGCCTGATGCAACACGTTAACGTTGTACACTTGTGAATGTGCTTACTCGTGAGAAACTTTACGAGCTTGCAACTGCTTGCAACCTCGTTAAAATAATCGCCAGCATTTTCCGCTTAAAATCTATATGACACAAAAACAGAGACCCTAATCGACCAATGATTCGTATTCGTTCAAGTTTCTCGATCTCACCGACTGTAGAAAGAACAGAGTGGAAACTTTAGAATTTCATGAACCTTTCCTAGCGCCATCAGTTGTAGCAGCATGAATAAAATTCAAACCACTTTTTATAAAGGAAGGATGAAGGATTTTTATAATATTTTTACAATATTTGTCGGAATATACGAAGTGAAAAAGGGGCCAAACAATGAATTCGCCAAAACATCTATTATCCATTTGTCACAATAAATAAGTTAAACAACAACTACCTCTATAAATAAATTCTCAAGTCTCTGCAAGTTTTAATTTTCCCTTTTTTGTTTGATGAGATATTGAAATACAATCGGGTTTAAAACAATATTACTTGTACTTCTATAGATTTATTTTTCTACACTGTTGTTGCATAATTAATTCTCCTCCTCTTTGGCGAGATTTGTATTTATTTTCTTTCTAAATTGACCCCCTTTATCCTATGAGCCGTGTGATTAACACGCATACGTATAAAGTATACAACAACGACGTTAAAACATCAGGTCGTCCCATAAATGATGCAAGTATTCCATTAACAAAAACTGGATCCTCTATTTCGTCTCGAGCAATCGTTACTCGTAAAAATATTCACATTATACATGGAATGACCAATACTTCTAAAAAAAAGAAACCGATGATTCATAACATTATATAGCAGCAATTTTATCGAGCCAGTTGCGTGATTAACGCCGCACACATTTCAAAGAATTCCATCGTATGATGGCCAGTTGCTTGAGGTGGTGGGAGCGTGGGATCTAAAACGATTTTTAGAAATAAGTAAAATTACAAGATTCACTATTATTTCGTTTTTACCTCGACCAATATCCTCCTCTTCATTCGACAAGGATTTGAAGTCAAGCAAATAACTCTTGTAATCGACTTGATACAGTTGCAACGACATTTTGCTGTACCTATCTGTAATTTTATTCTTCTGGCGTACCCTCACGCTGTAGGCGTTCATAATTTTCCATTCCTAAAACATATAAAGAAATGTCAAGCATTGCTGGTGCTGAAAACATCCCTGTTAGCCAAGCATGTAGTATCGGATTTAGTCCATTGTTTATCAAATACTTTAACCGGAATGGTTACCAATCTACATACATTTTGCTAACAAAGATTGGTCAGTTTTCCAGAGTAAAATCTTACAAAATTAAGAGCTTTCATCGCTCGATAAACTTCGTTCATGATGTCGTTTGGTTTGGACTGTGAGCGAATACCCAAATGCCATTTAGCTCGTTTCACGGGCGTGCCTCGGGGTCCCTGCATCGAAGACGATGTGCTTCCTTGAGAACTTTGCCTCTCTCGATATGCTGCAATTGTTTCATGTGAAATATATTATGTACTAGCAACCCCTGTCGCGACTTGTGTTTTCTCATTAAGTCACTGTATTACGAGGTAAAAGTTATAGTGGCAGAATTTTATTTTCGGAATTGAACGATACCGGAAATGATGTAACTGTTCTGTTAACATGCTTACATTATGCTGCTATTAATTTACAAAACAAGTGAAATATTTAATCTTACGCGCTATTCTCTCTGGATGTGGCCTCAAAGGGCTGCTACTAGCGTCATTCGGACTGAAGGCAACGGGCGGCGGGCTAGAAGCCACGTAGAAATCTTTCAACTCCGCTTTAGCTGCCTCATCCGCGATCCTCTTATTGTCTATGATAAGATGATAGGCAATCGCCAATTGATCGTGCGGATCGCCGCCGAGTAACGCGGAATGAACCTCGGCTTCTTTTACGTTGAACTTTTCGCAAACCTCGTTCACCGCGTCTATATCGATAACGGACGAGTCTTGTTCAACAGGCGACGGGAACAAATACGACGGTAAATCCTTTTGGAACCACTCGTGTTTCCTAAATCGAACGGAGAATCGTTTTATAAAATGTATGATATTAACATCCTTCATTGCAGATAATGTAAAATAAATGTGATAAAGATCAAACGTACTTGATATCCTCGATAGTCGCCCTTTTCATCGGATCCACCTGTAGCATGTGACACAGAAGACTGACAACAGTTTTATTCAGGTACTCCGGAATGGGAAAGACACCAGCTGTAATGATGTTATTTATATTCTAAGATACAACCTATTTAATGTATCAGATTTACTTACATTTAATTTTACGAAATAGCGTCGGTACATGTTCATCGTCAAATGGCAGAGTACCGCAAAGCAGAGCGTAAAGTATTATTCCGCACGACCAGATGTCCACCTCTGGACCGGCGTACAATTTGCCCGAAATGACTTCAGGCGCAGCATAATTAGGAGAACCACAAGAAGTGCGTAAGAATTCTCCGTCCATCATCATGTTTGACAAACCTATTACACGTTCTCTCATTTATAAGTGTCTTATATTCTTTAATTTTACAAAATCTAAGTTGAAAGGTCCTAATACCAAAGTCTGCTATTTTTACATGTAGATTGTGATCTAATAGAAGATTCTCTGGCTTTAAGTCACGATGGACTATCATATGCCTGTGACAATAGTCAACACCAGATATAATTTGTTGAAAGAATCTCCGTGCCTCATACTCCTTCAGTTTTCCATGCTTCACTATGTAGTCAAACAATTCTCCACCTGATACATATTCCATTATCATAAATATGTCTGTAGGAGTGCTTATCACTTGATACCTGGACGAAAAAAGAATAATAGTTGCAATTACTCTTTCTATTTGTTTTATTATTTGTTTTATTTATTATAAATTAATATGAATTTTTATCTTATACCTTGAATCTTATAGATACATTTTTCTTTTGCGAATACAATTTTTCTGTAAATGCGTAAGATCCGCAGTCTATTTACCATACTTACAGTTTAATAATGTGAGGATGTCTGAAGAGTTTAAGGTTTTGAATTTCTCGTCTTATCTTCCCGACTACATCCAGACTTTTGATCTTCTGACGATTCAGGATTTTCACAGCCACTTTGTGTTTTGTTAGAACATGTTCTCCGACTTATGAAGCAAACATGAATGATTAATTCCTAAAATAGTATTTACATTGATGAGATATATTTAAGAATAATTTACATACTTTTAACTTTGCCAAATGTCCCAACACCCAAGGTTTGCCCAAGTGTGTAATGACCTATCTTAACGATAGGCTGAGGTTGGTTGGAAGGAATTTTCTCAGACATTTTTCCTCTGTGATGTACATATGAAAATAATCGTAGATTAGGAACAACAGAAAGTGCATGCGAATCAATTTACTGGTGAATCCTTACGTAGACAGAATCTTTGAAACCAGTATGAATTCCGATAATGACTAATAATAAAATGAATTGATGGCTAACAATAAAATGAATTGATCAATGATTGTTCATTGTCAACACTTTGATGGGACTATTTATTTACATCGCACAAGCTCGTGGAATTTGTTAACATTTGAGAAACAAGGTCAAGTAAACGGGATGCGGAAAACTCGGATCACGTTATCGATAATAATTTTCACGATGATCAAAAATGTTGTCAAAAATTATATCGTTGAACTACGTAAAGTGAGAACGGAACAGAAAATCGTGAGGCGATAAAGAGTTTCAATCACCTGATACTATTTACATGTTCTGACACATTGGCCGCCACCACCACACGACACAATTGCTTGCAACTATCTGCATCTACATATAACGATGTAACTATAACAGATGTTTCAACGTGATCTGCTAGATCATTTATCACGTAAATCGAAGATTAGAAAACGTTGGGAGCGAATTTATTGTTTGATTATCTCCGATTTATCATTCATCTGCAAGAAATCAGATACTAAACTTTTCGTTATAATTTCTCAAAGAAGTTTGCGCTGTATCATCGTTATAATATTTAAACTGGCGGGACGTATAAAATTTTTACAAAATTACACGTGCCTCGAAGAGAAATAAAAATTATATTTCAATCTCTCTTTCGAGTTCCTCTGGCTAGAAATTGTTATTGAACTATTGCATTATTATTAACAATATTCATGATAATAGTGTCAATATCTTTCTGATTAATATTAATCAAATAAATTCGATTTCTTTTCGATTCTGCATGCACAATGCACATTCCTTCTCTCATTAACTTCTTTAATTAAAGCCCGAACCGCCCGGGCCGGGCCTGGGATCGCTGGGATCTGTGATCATTCTCCCTTGTATATATTACAATTTCTCGTTACGTTGTATTTTATCATTATTATAATCTCGCTACTTAGTGTACAAAATGTCTGAAGACCACAGCCTTATTAAATATTTCCTAAGCGGCGGTTTTGGCGGCATATGTACTGTCGTCGCTGGTCATCCTCTAGATACGATAAAAGTAAGGTTACATCAATTGTTTGATTGATACAGAGAAAAGAACGAACAAGCTATCTAAACGATTTTATGCACGAGATTAGGAACGCCATATGCCATTATTTACGTGAATTCTGTTCAAGTCAACAGTGCACTTAGTGATAACAATACAATAGTAAATTGCTTATTAAAAAAACGAATTATCAGTTAACAGAAACCTGTGATTCATAATCTGCAAGTTAGAATGTCAGAGTATTTTATTTTGATTAATCCTCTTGGGATTTAATAACAACAGTTATCCGAGGATAAATAATTACAAGATTGTATGTAAAAGATAATCCATTTTTCAGCTATACCTAAAACTAAAGTTGTTAGTAGGATTTAAATCCTATTTAACGCTTAGGATTAAACTAGTTTTCCCAGAAGAGGATTGGATCTAATAATGGATATGTTAGGTAAAAATGAACATTGTCTACGACAATAACTAGACATTATATACAAATATTTGGTACACAGAAACATACTTTTCTGTTTTTCACTTTTACTTTGTTTACTCAGTTTTAATTAAGACTCGAATTCGTCAAAGAATACAAGAAAATATGTGTTGCATATTCGTCTATGATTTCGATATTCGATATTTTCCTATGATTTTTAATATTATTATTATTCTTGTCTGAAATGTTCTGAAAACAGTATTGGTTTTAACAGGTCCGCCTACAAACCATGCCCATACCAGGCCCAAATGAAACACTTTTATATAATGGAACAATAGATTGTGCTAAAAAGACAATAGCACGGGAAGGCATACGTGGTTTATATAAAGGTTTGTATATGTCTAATTATTTTATGTTTTGTTTATATTAAAAGATATTTTTATCCTTGAATTCTTATAGGAATGGCCGCGCCCTTGTGCGGTGTGGCTCCGATATTCGCTATAAGTTTCTACGGATTCGGGCTTGGTAAACAGTTAGTGAGACAATCCGATAATCAAGAGCTGACGCCGCTGCAACTGTTTTACGCTGGTGCGTTCAGCGGGATCTTCACGACCGTTATAATGGCTCCCGGTGAGAGGATAAAATGCTTATTGCAAATTCAACAAGGGGATGCGAAGCCGAAATACAGTGGTCCTATAGACTGCGCGAAACAACTGTACAGAGAAGGAGGGATCAGAAGTATTTACAAGGGCACCTGTGCCACTCTTCTAAGAGGTAGGTAAAACCGTTTACTTACAGTAAGGATCCATTGATTTTTTCTGTCTCCAAGTAAATAAGGCAGTTCTTAAAAAGCCCGTCCGTCGTTTGCTCTCACGTTTCTAATTACTAGACTGCGGATCTTTATCCAAATTATACCATTTGTAATATTAATGTAGGAAATGAAATCGAAATATGCATTTCACTTTTGATATTTTCTGTGTGTGAATGTATTTTTTATATTTTCTGTACATATAACCCCCGCAGTCTACTAATTACACATAGTTCTAACTAAAAATTATACATTGTCAAAGCAAAATCATTTTGTGGGAAAGTTAAATTTTCTTGTATATACGTGGATCATTTGGAGTTAAAAGGGAACGTATTTAGCTAGCTGATGATGTTATCCTCGTAACTGTCCCTTCCCGGTGAAATCTTCTTCGCACGTCTTCTCTTCAACGTCCGGCACTGCAAGCCGCCTTTTCGTAACGCGTAAAAAACACCCCAATTTTTCAACCGCTTAGGTGTCGAGCATCTCGGTGCCGTTTCTCGCCATCTATTCACCTGTTTTAAATTATTTAAAGAATTCGATTCGTTAAGCCATTCTCGTCTTGTTTAATTAACATTTACACTACTCAAAAATTATGGCATCACGAAATTTGGATCGAGAATTATCCAGGTTTATAAGGTGATAATTCAGCAGCAAATTATCGTAGGACGATGATTTTTCTTTTAAACTTAACCTTGCTATAATTTTGTTGAATAGTATATTTCGGACTCACCAATTGAGGGTTCCATGTAACCATGGAACAAGTACAGTCCCACGGATTTCCGTCCAGTCGTAGAGTAGTCAGTTGCGATTGGTGACTGGGTGCACGTAGCGTTTTGAAGAAATCTAAGGGAAGCGAGGTCAACTTGTTCTTCGATAGAATAACTTCCCTAAGCTGTCTCTGCTGTTGTGCCGAGAATAAACCGGGCGGTATGGATTCCAGTTCGTTGTTCGACAGATCTATCCGTTTCACGTTTTCTAAACCGTAAAAAGCATCCATGGATATCCTTCGAATGTGGCAGTCGCTCAAATCAAGATCGATCAATTTGATCAGATCTACGAACGCATCGAATTCGATGCTCGTGATGTTCCCCCTTGTCTTCAATTCAATCAACTCTGGCATTCCTTGGAACACGAACCGTTCCAGCATCGGTATTTCTAAATTATGTAAATGCAAGATTTCCAAATTACGCAATCCCAGAAAAGAGTTCTTTTGCAGATATAATTTCGAGTCACCACCCAGATAGAGTTTCAGCGTCGTGTTCATTATTTCAAAAGTACTAGAATTATAAAAAACAATCTATATCAATGAACATTTCATGTGCTAATTCCAAAGAACTATCTTTACCTTGGAAATATAGACTCCAAAGGATTGTTCCTGAAGTCAGCGATTTTCAGTATCGGAAATGGTGGGAAGGACAATTCCGACAAGAAAGTTAAATTGTTCCCTCTCAAATCGAGATCCTCCAGCATTAATAAACCAGCCAGATCGACGCTTTTTAGCGTTAACAACTGGTTGCCCGCGAGCGACAGCACTTTCAAATTCGGTGTACCGTAAAAACAGAACTCGGGGATGAACTTCAAACTGTTCTTCTCTAACGATAGATGAACAAGACTGTTTAAACCATCGAACATATGCCATGATATGTCTTTCAAATCGCAATCGTAGATTCTTAGATGAGTCAAAGCTCCCAGCCCGGCGAAAAGTGCAACAGTTTCCCTGTAGCCTTCCATTTCCTGTTTGTAAACGTCGTACGGAAGTATCTCCTTATCCTCGTTTTCGCCGCTGTTTTGTTGACTCAGAAATATCAGTCTGTGTCCCGTGCTTTGACTGACATTGTTCAGTAGTTGTTTATTTCTGTTCCCGTCGTCGGTGCTCATTGGTTTCACTACGAGATTGGCTTTATTCTTCCTCGTCGGGCTCAAGCTGGTCAGTTTGACTCTTTCCAGATTCAAGTAAAGAAGATTCATCCCTAACGGATATAGAGAATCAACAGATAACAAGATTCCTCCTTCCTTCTTTTGCAAATTATTGTGCAGAGGTTCGCTGCCTTGTACGTCCAAAGATATTAAATCCGTGAAACGTTGGAATGTCGCAGACCGCAAAAGGATCTCGAAATCGGCAATCGAAACGGACTGAAGTATCGTGAACACCTGAAGTAAACTTGCATTAATAGTAATCGAAAAGGATATCTATGCCCATAAAATCAACCTGGATGTCTGATGGTAGTTTGTCTAGCAATTCTTCGTAGTCTTCGGTGACGGCGCAAATGGCTACTTTTAGAAATTCAGGGATCATCGAGTTGTCTACATTTGATCCAAAATCGAAGTCTCCATCGTTGGTCGGATTCTGCGAAGGAAATAAAGTATTCGGCGTATCTTAATAGGCGAAGATGAAACTTGTTTTCAAACCTGATCCTGATCGGTTTTGGTCCATCGGTGTAAAGGTAGATCGACGAACTTCTGGACCTCGCAGGAACATCCTGGTGGACACTTCACTTCCCAAATATCGCCGATATCGATCACCTGCCCAAAGCACTCGTTCTAAACATATTATTCAATCGTTAATTATTCAAACTAAACGGCACCCTTAATTGCAAGAATTTCTCACGCCTCCGTCTTCGTTAAAAAGAGGAGAAAATGTGTACCAGCAGAGTGAGGACGAGGATGAAAGTAACCGTCATAGTTCGTACGAAAAATTGCGATGAAAGAGAAGGAAAGAGAGGAATCTAGGAGCCAGTGGTGATACTGGCTCGATTCGAAGGAAACTGAATTTTGTTAACTGTTATCTGTCTGCCTTGATGTCTCCCTATCAAACAGGATGCCTCCTATCTGGCAACCTACACGCACTATTCTTGCTTTATAATTATAAATAACGAGTGCGACTAATGATGCTTCAATCACGTACATTCAGGTAGAACGACAATTTTTTATTCTCATTTCAGATGTTCCTGCCAGCGGAATGTATTTTATGACGTACGAATTGTTAAAGAAGTGGATGTCCACTGAAGACGGTAAAGTAGGGATAATTCAAACAATTGTAGCTGGCGGCTTCGCTGGCATTGCGAACTGGATTGTCGGAATGCCGCCTGATGTGTTGAAAAGTCGTTTACAAAGCGGTACGCATAATTTAATCCTAGCATAGTTCGTTAAAATTGTTATATGAACTCCGTTGATTTTGTTTAGCCCCAGAAAATATGTACAAACGAGGAATTCGTGATGTGTGCGTGTGTCTATTGAAGGAGGAAGGGCCAAAGGCTTTGTACAAAGGATGCGTACCTGTGATGCTTCGCGCGTTCCCAGCGAATGCTGCATGCTTCCTTGGCTTCGAGGTCGCCATGAATTTCCTCAACTGGGCGATGCCCAACATGTAAAACTTGTACATAGTACATGAAATACATAGTAGGTGGATCACCCTATATATACATTTTTGCTCATAAGTCTATCTAAACTTACGTTGTTACCAGAATCTTTATTTTTATTTCAGTATCAATAACTGAGAGGGTGTCACGTTTATACCGTCTTATTTTGAAGCAATCTCTGTTTCAATGTATACAGTACTGAAGATTTTTTACTATAAATTCAAATATGAAAGGAATTCTTTCATGATTATTAACGGAGAATATTTCTTTAGGATAGTATTAAGTATCATATTCCTAAGGTTTATAAGACTACGCCTTCTACAATGAAAGTATAATCATCACATCCAGTGAAAGTACCAGCTCTAACTAACATGGACTGTCTTGCATAATATAGACGACTAAAAGATATTTGTATAATGGCACTTGACAATGATCTTTAACAAATGTCTATCATACTGCAAATGGATTTTCTCCCAATTTAAAGTTCGTGCTGTTATACAAGTTAAAAATTTAAAAATAGCTTGTAACAAACAATATTATGTCAGAGAGAAAAATTTTCTCTCCGATTATATCTTTGTATTACTTTTTTTTATTGTTGAATCTCTATTTTGTAACTCCATATATTTTTTATAGCAGCAAATAAAAACCGATATTGAACATGGAATTTTTAATCATTTGACATCCAAGGAAATTTATGAGAGGTTTCAAAAATTTCAGGGCAAGGTCCGATCGAGAGTTTGATGTCGTTTGCCAGGAAACTCTTGTTCTTATCTTATCCTACTTGTTGAATCGGAAAACGTTCCCAAGCCCATTAGCGCGTTAACCTTCTCCAGCGTATTGACAGAATCCGTAAAGATCGTAGCCGAGTTTTCGACAATTCCTCGAAAATGTTATTGAAATCGGTAATTTTAATTGGCGGTCCTTCGAAAGGTTTGTTCTCTAACATTACTAATATTCTTAACACGAATACTTCATTGAGAGAAAATAATATAACCTTCGGATAGTATCAGAATGATTCTACGTGTCAAAGTACGATAAGTAAATAATGTTGCCCTGAATAAACATATAATTGTTCAAATTTTTTTATTAACTCCTCTCAAGAATCACTCAAAAATAATTATTACCTTTTTTGTAACAAGGAAACACCGGTCAGATAAAAATCACTTTAAATAAAAATCGAAGTTTCGTCTAATTGTAATTAACAATAAGAATAAATGCATGAATAAGTATTAAAAATGTATTTTCTGTAGGAACTAGGTTTAGACCCTTGTCATTGGATATACCGAAGCCGCTGTTCCCGGTCGCCGGACTCCCAGTGATCCAACATCACATAGAAGCCTGCTCCGAAGTTGATAATCTCAGCGAGATACTGATCATCGGATCGTACTTAGCCAGCGATTTATCCCAGTTCATCCAAGAGATGACGAGCATGTATAACATAACTATTAGGTATCTCCAAGAGTTCACACCATTGGGAACAGCTGGAGGCTTGTATCATTTTCGTGATCAAATAAGATCCGGAGGGCCAACGTACTTCTTTGTGATGAATGGAGATGTGTGCGCTGATTTCTCGTTACAAGAAATAATCGACTACCACCAAAAGAAAGATGCATTGCTTACTATAATGGCTACCGAGGCAACGAGGCAGCAATCCTTGAATTATGGGTGCATAATTATTGATAAGGATGGGGCGGTCGCTCATTACGTTGAGAAACCGTCGACGTTTGTCTCCACTTTGATTAACTGTGGGATCTACGTCGCCTCCCTCGATATTTTTCAGACGATGGCTGATGCGTTCTACGCGGGGCAAAGTCAAGAAAACTCTGTGTAAGAAACATTTAAAAAAATGTTAACTCTTATCGATAAATTTCAATCGAACTTTCTGGCAACAGGCAATTCAATGGTAACGGCAAAGATCCGGCGCACATATCTTTAGAACACGATATTTTAACGCGATTAGCTGGAACCGGACGTCTGTTCGCTTTGCCTATAATGAGATGGTGGTCTCAAGTTAAGACCGCAGGTTCCACGATATACGCTAATCGCCATTACCTGGCTCTCTATAAAGCAAAACATCCGAATCGTCTCGCCTCCCCGGTCAACGGGCCTTGCCAAATCGTTGGTGAC